GATATTAGAACTTAAACTTTAAACTTATACATGGTCTGCCTAAAATTTTGAATGCCTTTGCAGATATTTGAATACTTAATTCGCATCTTCGAAATTCAGTACCGACTTTTGTCATCATTTTCCGCAAAATAAATTTGACCCCTGTTTTCAATAACACGGTTTTTTCTCACTTTCCAATTTGGTCAGATTCTTTTAATCATATGCATTTGCTTTGCAAATGAATGTTTTCATTGGATAATTTAACAGTTTTTCCTATTTATTATATTTTATGATAAATTGGAGTTCAAACTTGTGTATCGTTACTTTTGTTGACTAGTATAGATACAAAACGTGATTTTCCCTTCTTAATGATTCGCATAGGATTGTGTGTCGCCTTTTGTGTTTTCTTAAAAAGTACTGCATTTTTCTTTAACTTAGTGCACAGTATAATTAAGTAAGTTGAATCATTTTGACAGACATATTTCTTTTTACTGATTTGTTCCACCTTGTAAAAATACAGCAGATTTTTCACAGATTTTTAATTTACACTTAATTGCATTCACGATACGATACCTGATTTTTCACGATCCCATCGCAATGCTTGACCACCGTTAGTTCTTCTTTCACGATCATATTTCTCGATATACCGAAAGACACCCGTGTAATTTGCCGATACAAAGTGTCTGTATTAAAGATGAACAGAGATATGTTCTACTTGTAGCCGTATGGTGCCATCGTGTTTCACTACTACCTTTAATGATACCACGAATACTTATTGTGAAGCCAGAACTTTTGTGTCACACGTGGAGCAAGATCTGCTTACCCTTCCGGAGCTCCTGAGATCGCCCCTAGTTTTTGGTGGTGTTCTTGTTGCTCAGTCTTTGTTTCTATGTTGTGTTATGTGTACTGTTGTTTGTCTGTTTGTATTTTTTCTTTCCATGACGTTGTCAGTTTAATTTTGACTTATGAGTATGAATATCCCTTTGGTATCCTTCGCCTCTCTTTTAAATGATGTTGTCTATTTGATTTACGAGTTTAATTACGTATTTTCTGTCTTTTCTCGGTGAGTTTCTATCGTAAATGATTTTGTCAACAATTTAGAAATCAAATCCATTACACGGTTGCTTTGTGTTATGTGTATTTGTGTTCTTGTCTAACGCGCACTATTTGCCTGGAAGGCTTTTGAATCTTTTGCATAGCATGCAATAAATGAATCATATTTGGTTGATTGGTAATCTCATCATTTGCTTTTGTGATTAATTTGTTTACCTGAATGCAAATTTTCTTTTTGAAAATGCAACAGCACAACGCTAACATCCCTACATCAACTTTCTCAATAAAGTTACTAACGTCACGGTACCCAAATTGCAACATAAATAGCTGAGAAATTCTTAAAAGTTTTCTTTGAGACTAAACAACTTGTATTTTAGTTATTTGACATTATGTATATATACACGTCTTACAAAATAGGTGAATATATTCAAATATACACTAAACGTTCACAGTTTATATAAAAAGATATAGCTTTCACTGGAAAAGAAAAATGTACAAAAACGCCGCAATGCGACAATCACAAAACGTCATCTTTAAATAATGAACAAAAAAAAATATTTTACAAGCATCCCTTTAAAAAAAATGAATAGTGAGCAAATTGTTCTAAATATTTGAAAAAATAAAACAAAACATCTGTTATTTGATTTTTAATGATGTGAATTTAAGCATGGATGCAATTTGGATACTCCTCATTACGGAATCATGGATAGTTTGGAGGTCGATTCAAACCCATTTTTCTATGACTCAATAGGGATTAACAATCAAATTGGTGTACCTATATAATAAAGATGGATACGGCTACAAAATAAACACAGAATGGAAATTTTTGTCTTTATCATAAAAAAACTTAGGTAAAAAAACTGTCAAAATAGGTGCAATTTGGGTACCGTCACGTTATAGTTAGTCATTTAAAGAACAATTTTTCAATCAAACCTTTTACGATTTTTTTGGGGGCATTAATCTGACCTGCTCTGATCTGTCTTTGTGACTTCTTAACACATATCAAAAATTAACTGTACATGACTAATATAAAAATGAGGAGATGTGTTAAGATTGCCAATTAGAAAACTATCCACCAGAGTTAAAATGAAGTGGTAGTAAGCAAGTATAGGCTTCACTGAACTAAGTCTGATCAAAGAAACTGTCAAGTGCTGTTCAGGCTTCATATTTGGTTTATTGCAAGTCAGACTTGACTGAAAACAGTTCAGATCTGGATATTTTAAGCTTTGATCGAGTATGGAATAGATTTTAGTTCGATTCTGTTAATGCTACTCCGAAATTCATCTTGAAGATTGAACTTTTCAGTTCGACCTGGGTGAAGGGCGGGGTAACTGGACAGCCATTTGAAATAGAAGTGTGTTTGATAGAGGCAGAATTGTTGACTTGAAAGGATTAGTTTACATGAAGATAATTTGACAATCTCCCTACATTGGCATTGATTTTTGCAGGTCCCTATTCCAACCCGACATGGCTGTGTATTTAAACATCACGCACAGTCAAACTAATTAACGCCCGTCTTTTTACTTCGAAAGGATGGGAGAACTTTATGTAACCATATTTCTATACCCCAGTAAGCCCTATTAAAAATACTCTTAAGTCATACACATTTCAGTATAACTTCCAATCGATTTTAATCGTAAGATTTTTTGTGAAAAGAGTCGCTGATTCTGATTTGCAAAGAGTAAAACCAATACTGCATATGACTTATCAGTGATTTTAGATAATTATCAAATGTCATTTGAGCAAGCTTGGATATTTTGACTGCCTCTCTCTTTGTCCTGCATTGAAAATTAATCTTGAAAATACTATCTCAAGCAATATTGTGATGTCATAAAATAACACAATTATGGTTATTGTCAGAAACGCAACGGTCTTGGAATAGTTGTGATAAAATACATATGTCAGGCAAAAACTTTGGACCATAAGGCTTCTTTATATATAAGATATGGATTATTCATCTCGTTTCAAATAAATAATTAAATATGCATCATCCACATAGTTTATGCCGTCGCTAATGCCGCAGTATCAGCATACATTTTCAAAACAAAAAAACAGCTAAATATACAAACTGGTATTGGGAATTCCGAATTTGAAAACAATAAAATGATGAGCAAAATGATGATATATAAGAAGTTATGCTTTTTCAGGTTTTGGATTATACATAAATTGTATCATATTCGTGGAAAATAACATAAAAAAATATATTTTATATTTCTAATTCGAATCCAACATCTCAGGAGAACTGATATATGAAATGGATAACAACATCAAACGAATATATATAGTATGCGCAGCATACGCTTTATTGACAAATTTTGATTGGAACGATCCCATTACCAACTGCAGTTGCGTTTTTGTCACTTAATTGCAAATGTAGGCGTTATCTGTTGACATCTCATGAGCATAGCAATTGTACGTGAAAACATTAATTATAACATCAAATAGAGTGATTTTTATCGTAACATGAAATATTGCGCTTATTTCATACACTGACAGAAAATATATTGTGAAATATAAAATGTATTATGCATTAGGGATTAAAACATTTATTTCGCAGACTATCTGCCATAATAATTGCGCATTTTATCCTTATGATAAACATTATTATGGTAATTTTCACGTTTTCTATATAATATATGCACAAAAATGGGATACACTGACATTTTACTTTTTGATTTGTAATATTTACTTGCTTAACTTTCTAAATATGACATTCCAATAATTATGCAGACTAGATAAAAAATGTAAACACTACATAAACAATATTTCGTTTAAAAAAACCTTGAATGTATGTATCAAATGAGAAGAGAGGTAAACGCCAATGCGATATCAAGATAACAATATGTAAAAATAAGTCACAGAGATGTGGGATAAACGCCAATGCGATATCAAGATAACAAACAATATGTTAAAAAATAACAGAGATGTGGGATAAACGTCAATGCAACAGAAACCCCACAACATATGTTAACCAAAACATGGAAATGCATCCACACCGTTTAAGAAGCCCTAAATCGCCCCAGAAAAGTTTGACAAGAATTCAGCAGAGATGACCAAATACTTGACAGCTCAGTTAGGTAGTTATTTTTGTCAGCATTGTGCGAGACTCTCATCACACCCTTTTGCCGACTATCGGTACAATGGATGCAATAAGTTACACAGGTCAAAATCTGCTGTACTCGATTGCAAAATCCCCTTGTATTGCAATGGTTATTGCAAACGCTGACAAAAATCTGCTGTACACGACGGAAAAATTTTAGCAATCGTACCTTCCTTTAGCCGTTACTTGGGTGAGCTCATGGATATTCAAAGTCGTAAAAACAAGCCCGTAGTAGTATATTTTTATTAATCAATAGATATAAGAAGATGTGGTATGAGTGCCAATGAGACAGCTCTCCATCCAAATTTATAAAAGTAAACCAATATAGGTCAAAGCACGGTCTTCAATCAAACATACTTTAAGCACCATACATATACATAAATGCACAGGTTGTTGATTTAACTGCATTTTTTTGTCTTAAATTTTATTTTGATGTCATATCTCCATTGCTGCAATAACCTTTGTTTTTGATGGAGATTTGATACAGTTGTTTTAATATCAATAATGATCATATGTAACATATATAGCATACAATAAAATAAAAGAGAATCTTTAATCTAGCCTACACATTCTTTGGTATAGTCTCTGTTATGTATTCACAGCTTTTTATGCTTAGCACGATATGATATATAGATAACTTGTTTAAATATTACGTTAATTTATATATTTTCTGGTTTTACAGTGCAATAGACTTGCTGCCTCATTTGCACCTTCATTTTCTTCTATATACTGATAAATTTTTTGCCATACTTTTATTTTGAATTTGTGAAGTCTTATTAAGTGTGTGCTTCTAGTTTAGTAATGAATTGAACATTTCTAATCTGAAAATGATTTTCAAAATGATTGATGTTTGTTCTATACATTTCAGGTTTCTATATCTATTCATTTGGAACCTGATACCTGGGTGGTTATTATTGAACAATTGTTGTTGTACTTCATGATCATTGGTCGATGGCTTTTACCACGCGGGAACATCTCGAGAAACGAATTGTCACAACTTCTGTTCGTGTTTATTGGTATGGCATCCGACATTACTGAGCTGTTTACTTTATTTGATGAGAAGGAAGTACGTGAAAATATACATTTAACCTTCGCCGTTTTGATCATTTGGACAGTAAGTTTGCTTCAGTTCTGTTTTGTTCTGACAGCTACAAGAAATGTAAAACGAGGTCGCGTTGCACTTCAGGCTCCACCAAGGAAGTCATGTGGCTGTTCATGTTGTTCAACGGAGGTATGGAGCATTTTGGTCGCCATGTTGATGCAAGATATCCCATTTGTTACCGTTCGTATTTACACTATTGCAACATATAACCTCATCAATTATAGCATCATATTTTTTACCGCCAAAAATCTTCTCGTTGTGATGTTATTGCTTTATCGTTTTGCGGTTATTTTAGGAAGCCAAAAGAAGGACGATGGCAATAAAAGTCTAGATTCATTCATGGAACTTGGTGACATGGGAAACATGGAACTAAAAGTGGAAGCTCCCAAACGAGTTTCAGTTGTATCTGATATGTATCAAAGCAAACCGTATTCAAACACGGGTAAAAATCACGGAAACGGACATGGCACGAGAAACGGCAATACTCAAAGACCTCAGAAACAAATTTGCAGTTATGAAAACAAAATTGGAAGCTTGTAATTATATACTTGTATTTTCCGGGGGCCAAAAAGAAATAATATAATATATTACTATAACCAGTAGTTCTATTTACCACACAATAGCAACAGTTGTAAACTAGATATTTGAACAAAAAGTAACGTTGACAAACAAGTTATAGATTATAGATGGAAGCTCATATTACCCAATTAACTAATACACAATGGAAATATTATAATCGTTTGTACTGACGAATATTATCAATGCATTAACAGTTATCAATAATAACACTACATAAAACGTAATCGCAATAAACAAACGACATCTTTGTTTTATCTTTTCTTCTTTTGATAGATAAATTAAATTAATATTATGTGTATTCATTTAGAATCATATAAAAATTGAAGTGAAAATTCTAAACTATAGAAATTTCATTTTAAATTAAAAGTTTCTCATTTGTTTTATTAAATTCACATTTCATTTTGGATGTAACATATTATCAGAGCTGTTCTGATTTATTGATTTATTATTGTTTGCAATATCTTATTTTATTCCTAACGACACGTGCGTTAGTCAATATCAACCACAATCCCGCCATCTTCTCGAATTTTACCTTCAAAATTGGACTTATCACCGGGTTTATACTTCCATGAGCAACACGACGAGTGCCACATGTGGAGCAGGATCTGCTTATCCTTCCATATGACATGAGATCACTCCCGAATTTGGTGGGGTTCGTGTTGCTCAGTCAGTTTGGTTCCGACTTATTAGTTTGAATATCCCTTAGGTATCTCCCACCTATCTCTTCTTTACCAGGCACGCCCAAGACCAAAAGATTTAGATGACAAATACATACAAGTCTACGAGCAATAAAACTAATTTGGTCGATACAAAACAGCCAAACTGTCTAAATAGCTATCAATATTATTTCAGCAAGTTGCAAATAAAATATTACGTTTGTATCATGGTTATATTAAAGCGCTGTTGTAATTCATTGGACAATGTCGAAATTTTAAGATAATAAAATTAATTACCTTGCGGCTAAAACGCTTTGCGCAACTACAGTGGACTTGGGCAGATATGCTTTTTATCTTAAAATTATTTAAACAGATATATCCTATTGTTTTCTTTTTCCCTCAAATAGAAACGAAATACTATAATGTGTTTTAATACTTACCTATGTCAGTACGCAAATATTCAATTTCCGGATGCGCTAACGATTTATGTCTGCAAATTACTTTATTTTGGTAGTTTTTCCATTCAAACAAAAGAAATTGAGTTTCCTATCACAGCAGCGGAAAGACAAAGAATCGTTTAAACAATTCACCACTATTACGAAAGGATAATTGCAATGAAATTGTCAGTTAATTGTTATGGACAACTGTTTGTTAATACATGAAACTTCTTATTTTGCATTTTATGTTAAAACAAATATGCACTCACTGACAGCAAACGGGATACATCAACATAGAAAGGGGGAAAAAATAGGTTGGGTTGGTGAAAATAAGATTGGACATTGAAAATGCATAGTGATAAATGTACATTTTACAATGGAATAAAACATGTGTTGTATAAATTCATTACAAAAAATCCCTACACGCAGTCGCGCATATACCGCCAAAAAATTAAAAGCGCTACATTGCTGTTCTTCACTAGAATGATCGCAAAGTCACATCGACGCCTTCAACAAGAAATCTCACCTCACTGCAAACTTCAGACGGCCGCTAACACCGGTTTAAGGTAACACGATACCGAATGGCATATCTCCCGATTTCCAAACTTTTTGACACACGTGTTCTTTGAATCGAATTACATCGGAATATGTAATAAAAAATGGGGGTCACCATTTTTGTTTTCTTGGTATTTTGATAGGAATACGTCAATTTTGGCGACAAATTTACATAGGTATATAGGAGAAATGGCTTTTTTTCGGCTTTCCTTTTTAGATTTTCCAATGGATGGATATGTTCTTATATACGGAGAAAAACAAAAAACTAACATAATATCCAGGATTGCATACAGAATCCATACACGTAAAAAAACTCATATGTCACCATCCTTGTTTTTGAGATAAATGGCTTCAAAGTTGATCGATATGCCTAGAATTTGACCGAAAACGTATGACGTTATTGAATACAGAATATAACGTTATTCCTACTCAGAGATATGGAAAACAAAATATGTGTCAGGATCTGAATGTTGTTTATTTATTTTCATTTCCCCTGTCGGGTTTCGTAAATTTCCTAGTTATGCAATATGAAATTCTACTGATATAAATTTATTTCGTCCTGCACGTGGAAATTTCACTCACATGAATTAACATTAATCTCGTCTGAATTTCACACCAAACGAGCATATACTTGAAACTTGCTTGAACTGGTTGGTTCCACGTGAATCTTATGATAATAGTTCATGCATAAATCAACGGAATTTGGTACATGTTGAATTCAAGTAAATTTTTATAATAAGATTATTCAAATAATATCTTTATTCTAAATTTAATTAAAATCATGAAAAATACCTCCAAATTTTTGTAAAGTTCACGTGAAAATAACATGAAAAATTTCACGTGTGGTTCATTTGAATTACCGAGTTTTTAACTCCATCATTTAAGACAATGGTGGTGTCATCGCTGCATCCATGCAGAAATAGAGTACTTTAAAAATTTGATTCAGTTAACAGTTTTATAATTGCTTGGTTTTTGATGGTTGTTTAACGTTCAGTGGCAAATAGTTCATGCATGTTCGGGACGATACAATACCATCTGGAAAACAGTTGTTTATAAAAGACAAATTTGATGCACCAGTCAAAAAAGGTTAAACATTCTGTTAGTTGTCAAAATTATGAGGGAAAATAATGATCCTGATAAAATACACATTCTAAAAAATAAAATAACAAAACTCAAAGAAAAATTCAAAACTTAAAAGTCCCTTATCAAATGACGAAATCATAAGCCAAATACATCGAAAGAATGATAAACAGCCGTCATATTCTTGACTTGGTACATGCATTAGTATAGTGTACTCTACGTGGTGTAAATGTGTGAGTTGGTTGGTTGAGCAAGTCGGACAAACCTTGCAAACTGTATGCAAAATTTCACAAAGTTCAACAGTCTGTCATTTGTGGAAAATTATTTACAAAACAAATCTTGAGATCATATATTCATTCTTTATAAGTAAAGCAAACCGCGAAATATAAAAGTTCCAGCTTGAAATTCCACATGTAGGAGATGTAAGCCGGAGTCTGTACACTGCGTTCCTTTTATATGTTACCAAAATGCCTAATCCAGCAACCTGTCATGAACAAAAAATAAAGAAAATCCAGACGACATGCGTACCTTTAAAAGAGTAGTAACACCAGGTAAATAATTTAAACCTGAAGCAAAAAGGCTGTAGTCCTAAATAATTAGCCGTATGTATAAACCCTATGTATATATGTCAAGTGCGGGATTGACGGTCGAACGGACACGGGTGAAACAATATGATGATATGTGCTCTGTTGGAATTTTGGTGACAAAACATATTTTTGAATATGCAGTTCATATAATGGAATGGTAATTTGGAGGTCTAAAATGAAGTAGCAATGTAAGCAAGCTACCATTTCCGTCATTTTGTCTTTGGTGGGAAGTTGATTAATTGGCAATCTTACCGCATCTCCTTATTTCATTATGGTTTGAATTTTCTCAAGAAGAACAAAAGTTTTAAGACTTAACAAATATGTACTAAGAGACTGAAATGTTACTGTGATAATTATACTACACATACTTTCCAATTTAGGGGACCAGCGTTTACTAAAACTACAAATTAGAAATAAAAAGATACTCGTCCAATTAGCATTAGTCACAATTTTCTTGAGGTCTTTAGTTTTGATGTCGTTAAATGTCCAGATGTCGCTATCTTATAAATTGCATATCCCATATCTCCATTTATCATTATAACAGCCAACTTTTGTACAAAAAACATGTACCATATATTTTTTTGTTTTATTTGTACTTGTCCTTTTACAAATAAAGTCTCATGTTACCCCACTTCCATAATGAGCAAGCGGTCGATTGCTTTGAAAAAATTAGAGGCAATGATTTAAATTTTAACAATTAAAGTTATAAGTGACGGGTGTAAATTGTAGGATTGATTGTAGGTTGCTTAACGTCCAGTGGCAAATAGTTCATGCATGTTTAGGACGAGAACAAGTTAACAATAAATACAATAGCTAGGTTTTGTAATAGAGGCCATCTGGGATGATGGTCGAGAAAATTTGGACTGACACTGGAAAATGAGGGTATATTGGATAGGGACAGACATTTTGTTTCGCAACAGGCCACCTACGGACCTCTCAAAGAGTTGTTTCAAGGGTTCTTAATGTTCAAAGAGCGTAGAACTCTCTTTACACGAGGCATTGGATTTAACGTCCCCATTCTGACCGGACGTGGGTGCTAACTTGATACATCCCGCACAGCCAAATGGACGCCCCACTTTGGAAGCATTTTCTGACTGCAGGTTGGAAGAAGACCAAGTGACCATATTTCTATTTCCTAGTCATCCTTGGGGTGTAAATTGTAGAATAAAAACAAAATATAAAAATTATGTACATTGTCAGAAATATAAAATTCAATGTATTTGTACTCACTACGAAACAAGTGGAAAGGTCGGCGAGTCTCGCTTTTCATCGTGTTTCTAAAGCTCGTACACATACATTTTATATTACAATGTACATATATTTATATAGTATATTTATCCACACAAAGAAATAAAAACACTTCTTTTTTACATGTATATATAGATATACTTTTATACTTGTTCTAAAAACTCCTTTTAAGACTGTGAAACTCCTCGGGCTTTTCCTGACGCCTAGTATGTGAGCAATATGTCCCTCAGGGCCTCAAAAGGCAACTATGTTTATTCTCTTTCAGTCGTTTTGTCTCCGAGCTTGTAAATGTAAATTATTTCCAACTCAAATCACACCAAAAAAACCACACTACCACCGAATACCCATGCAAGCGTAAATTAACACGAATATAAAATCTAAATGATTTCAAGATCAAGCTATTTCAGTCTCTTTCTGTCGTTTGAAAAATAATTAGTCAGTCGTTTGCTTGTAAATTTCGAGAGAAAAAAATTGTAACTGAACCAGTCTGACTAGAGCCAGTCCGAACTATCAACTTGCGTTTACAGACGCAAGTGGATACTTGGAGCTGGCTTTAATCAGATTGTAACGGGACCTGAATTTTTTTTATTTTATTTTTGCCGATACAAGTTCCCATGTATTTCTCAGCCTACGTTAACTTTCTCAGGCCTCATTCCGATGTTGCTGTCTGCCCTGTGTAGACTTGGTCTATAGGGTTACAAAGCTAGCACTTTATTTTTAAAATGTTTCCGAAACTATATCGGATTTACTCTGTACAAACCAATGATTTTCAGAGACTGTTTACACTTGGAACATAGGGAAAGTTATTCGGCAAAATAACCAAGCTAAACCACGTTTTTTACATTCCATACTAACAAACTATTTTCTGTATGAGTATCAAAGTCTGCTTATATTGTGCTTTTTCGCCTAATTCTATCCGTATTCTCATTCCGATAAATTTCCTTGTTCCATTTTGCCCGAGCGGTGTTTTTGACGACCATTTTAACACGAATTAATAGTTGTTTTTTCACACACCATCCCAAGTGTCTATAGATTAGATTTCGACTTTCAAAACAAAATTTCATGGCGATACGGCGCGCATCATGAATAAGTATTTATTGCAAAAATAAACCAAGAATAAAATAAAGTGTTAAAACTCAGTCTGTTATGCATAAAAACATATATAAGATAAATCGTGCAGATGCTTAAATATTAAAGAAACACAATATTTAAAAGTAAAGTAATACATTTTTAAAGGTTAACAATGAGCAGAAGAATTGCCGGAAAACGATAAAGTAATCTATGTCAAATAAGTTAACCGTTACGTATTGCATCAAAACTCTCAGCACTCTACATCTAGGGAAAGTTACCGTTAAAAATGTCACATAATTAATTACCAAATATATTTTAAATAATCACTTTGTGATTGCAGAACCTGCTGCATTGGCTTGTATGTGTGAACGTTATTCGATAACGTCAGGAACGATAACTCGGGTAATATCAACAATTTATAAGTTATATCTGTCCAAGGACGTATGTTAGTTATACGTCCTTGATCTGTCATAGAAATCTTACACATTCTGTCATGGATTAACAGATAATCTCACTGCAAACAGTACAAACATTTAAACAATCACGGGCACATCACGATATATGTTAGATAACTTTAAGAGCATATACACCTCAATCAGGGGGAAAATGTTAATACCGTCACACATCACGAGAGACAAACTATCTTAATGTCACAGTGGAAAAAATGGACAAAATTTGATTTTGAGACTTTTCGGACATTTGTAACAAAATTTCGTAAATTCAATGTTTTTCTTGTATATGAAATATTTCTCAGGGATTTTGTTAATTTGTATTGTGAAAGGTTTAAATCAAGTTTGTAAGATCTAGCTAATCTAATTTCATGTTTCAGTTTGTTTTTCAATTAGCTACATTTACTTCAATCTTACCTATTATTAGGTCTTTCCACTATTTTGTGGAAAGACCTATTGTATTTGTTCTGATTATTTTTTTTCTTCTTCCGCCAAATTTCAAAACTTGTTTTGTGGTTTCGCAAGATGTCGCTTAGATTTTTTGCATTTGATATCGAACAGTTATTGCGCTTTTGAGACTGATCCTGTTTAGTAGAAGACTTTTTATTGTAAGAGTTATCTCCCCAAACACTGTTTTCTTTGTGGTGAGATCTTTACCGTAACCGTAAAAGAAAGCGACAAATTTATTTTACTAAATTGCTCGTTATATCCTTAGGTTGATTTGTGTCAAATTTTAACCGAATCAATTCGTAGACTCCATATGACAGTTATTTCCCCTTTTGAATTTGAATTTGAGATAAGTGATATGTTAATTTATCATATAGTTATAGAAAATAATGGTATAATTGTACCCCTTGATAAAACTAATTTGTATATATATTTATTCATTAAATTTGCAGAATTGTCTAAGCCGTGTGATATGACTTTCGTTATCAACTACTTCCGGTATATATCAACTGCTTCCGGTTTATATCAACTGCTTCCGGTTAATATCACATGCCTTTCTGTAACGTTATCGCAAAGCATTTCGACGTCATTCTGCAAATTCCGGAAAAAAAACTCAGTAGTACATTTTAGTGAAAAACATAACTAGGAAGAATGAAAGAACGAATATTAGGAAACAGAAAAATATATTATTAAAAAACGCAAAACATCAATGTATCACATGAATGGTAAGTAATACAGACCTAAGGTATGTGTATTTGAGGTCCTGGATTCATAAAAATAAATTTGAGGTCAAGGTCAAAGGTCAAGGTCATGTTCTAAATTTTTACTTTTCATTTTCCAAGATCTCGTCTGACAATCTTAGAGATATATTTAAAAGAACTAGTGCAAAATGTTTTCCTCATTGTGATGAAGATATGATACATTTGGTCTGAAACAATCCAATGACATCTTATAGGAGTTTTTGTCCCTGAAATGATTCAATTTAAGGTTAATTGATTATTTCTCCAACTTGGTACATGATAAAGCCATAGGTTTTTTGCAAACTGTTGGCTGACAAGTGACCTTGAGTTAACCGGAAGTATCCATTTTTGCACTTATTTCATGGAAAAGTACTTTGGAACTATATGTTTTTTAAATATGCATACATAAACCTATCATTTGAGACCGGAAGTGACCTTCAATAAACCGGAAGTACCTAATATCTCCATTATTACAGGGAAAAGTATATAGAAACCATATATTTTTGGAATCCGTGTAAATAAAGCTATCATATGAGACCGGAAGTGATATTTTTAAAACCGGAAGTTGATAATTATCTCCCTTATTTCAGGCAAAAATATATTTATTAAATCAGTATGAAGAAACCTATGCTTGGACGCCAATAGTAACTTTGAGTAAACCGGAAGTAGCTTCTCATCAATAATTTAGAAAATTGATGTGGAAAGACCTTCAATTGTTCTCTGAACAATTGGTTTTTAATTCTTTTAGGATCTATTTAATTCGATAAATAAGTCTGTAAGTTCTACTGTTAATTATATTGCTGTGAGCTAATTTTTCTATAACCCGTTAATTGTATTTGTCACTCATTTAGAGAAATATTTGTCAAGTCTATTCAAGTAATTTTTAGTTTGTTATATAAACTATTTTATCATTTCGATATGGCAGATTGGATTTAGTATTACACTGAGCAGTTCCAACTCTGTACGATTGTATTCCATGCTGAACTTTTAAAATTATATATCGCGGAAACCAGAGTCGTCATTTGTTGCAAGAGATAGTCCCAGAGTCAAGAGTCCGTGCAGACTCTTCTTATTGTGTGTGTGTGTGTGTTGTTGCAGGCAAACACATAACCCAGTCACAAGATACATCCAGTTTCTATTTGTGACATCATTATAATGGAAAAGAGAGGATATGGGGTATTAATTCATGACAAAAAATCACTACGCACACATAAAAAAACAAAATGCAGGCCCGCTTTTATTTCTTTTTTTCACCTCAAAGACACAGCGAGTTTTTGTTCTTGTATTGGTCCGGACACTTTCATACTTCTGTAAAATTAGAACTTAGGATTCGTTATTTATAAAATTTGAAAATGATGCAATTACCGCAAAGGGGTCGGTTTCGAACCAGTTCGCTTGAGCGAAGTCCGACTTTAATCTTATTTATGCGTTGACTGATTTTTGTTCCATATACGTATATTAAAATCTCAAAGGGTAGGAAAGGAACGATTTAAAGCTCTATTAACATATACAATAAACCTCATCAGTCACAGCTTCTTACGGGTACCTGTTTAGAAGACATATTTGTTTTCCTTTTGGTAAAGGAAAAAAATTGATAGCTTCAAGAACAATCAATCAAATAAAAAGTACCGCTTTGACGGTAGAAGAGGGACATGTCTTGAGAACTGAGTAAATCCACTTCGTCTGACATATTCAGGCAATTTTCCTATAGATACACATAAAGTTTAAAGACAATATTTGATCAGCACAAAAGAATGGATAGTTGTGCTAAAAGTTACATTTTCTTCATAAGAAAAAGAACAAAGTTTAGGGATAAAAAGGTCAAAGCGTGGTTTCGCAACCGAAATATGTGCTAGGGATCACATTAATCAAATCGGAAGACTACATAGATATTAATTTTGACTTTTAATGTTTTATGCAGTTCAAGCTGCTTTTATTTTACTAATAAGAAATTGATATAAGATATATAAAAATCAGCAATATATATTATATATATATTATATTCCAAATTCCACACGTACACAAATGTACATGGATATAAATACTTTAAAGTTTCAATCAAATTTGCAAGAAACGACATATAAGAATGTTTATAAAAGTTTTGCAAGCGCCTCTCCTACAGGTGTTGCTGAGGCAGGATTTTGTCCAGTAATGAGGCGACCATCAACCTGAAACATAATTTTTGTTAAAGTAAATTCAACATTCATTCACAAAAACATTATTTCAATACCCTTTTTAACTACAACGATGAAGGAAAAGTTTACCGGGTTTTATATCTGAAATTTGACCAATTCAATTCCAACAGTTTGTTTTATTTTCTAAGAGTTTTATAGTATAAATGTGGAAAACCTCAATTCACTTGCATCATGGAATGTTAAGGAAAAAATTCAAACCAGAGACTCAAAGCAAATATCCTTTATTAAATGTTTTCCATAAATCGTCTCATACTAACAGGCTATATGTGCTCGAAAGCCTGATTAAATAAAGGTTTGACAAGATATAATCTTTACTATTCAATTTGCTGAATTAGGAAAAGTAATGTTGATTAAATGATATGAACAGAAAACACGTATTTATTATTTAATATGTTCGTTTTTATGGTATGAAGACGAGGTAATAAAGTTATACACAAAAACCTCATGTATATTTCGCATTTTCTTTTATTTATTAAAATCCAAAATCGCAATGATCATGGTACAATACCAACCTGGACATTTGGTTTCCACATGTCAACTGCAACAAAACTGCCACCCAGATCTTTCAGTTTTGTTTCTAACGGAAACGGCATGATAGACGTGAGTTGTACGGCGTCTTCCTCGGCATTTGTGAATGCTGTTACTTTCTTGCCCTTTACCAAATAGTCACCATTGGAGAGTTTCAATGGAACTAATCCTAAAATACAAAATTTCCTTTTACATAAACTGGAAAATTTGTGCTACTGTAAATTAACCTTCGTGTTCGAGTGTAAAAAAAGAAAATTGAGAAGATTGCACTATAAAAAAACATTTTTCTTTATTGTATTGCCACTAATTTTTTTTTATATTTTGAGAACGGAGAGCACGCTTTCGCAAAATCAATAAAACTTGACGATTTTAGTTACCAAATGGTGAACTTTACTTGTCTCAGTAACAATTAATCTAAATTTCCTGCACAGTGTGTACTTCTGTTTAGGTCCTTTTTGGGATTTCAAATGTTGAGGTTTTATTCGTTCCCGATGAAGATTAAGCAAGAAAAGCGCCTCGGACGCATGCAATTTATAAAGTGTTCATTTGATATATCGAAGTTGGTTTGCTTATCAAGAGCTTGTATATTGTTTGATTGATTACTGCTTTTTTAACGTCCAATAACAAATATTTCATGCATATTCATGATTAGACTAAAACAACAATAAAATCAAAAGTAGTTAGGTTACATTGTACGATCGGGATGAAGTGGTGAAAATTTGAACTGCTATTGGAAAAGAGTTAGATAGGGACTTAACATTTTCCTTGCAACAGGCTACATACGAACCTCTTAATCACTGGTTGATAGGGTTATCTAAAGTTCATATAGCTTGAATGACTATCCATACAAGAGGCATCGGATTTTACGCCCCATTGCATGAAGTCGTGCATGGTATTGTCACTGAACATCCCCCACAGACGAAAGGACGCCCTTCTTAAGAATGGGTTTGGATACAGGATGGGAGAAGTAAAAGTGACTATATTTCTTTACCACAATCAACACTTCCGATAAAGAGATTGTGTTGTTATAAATACTGTTATAATAAATACCTACCTACTGGCCCGTGACATACGGCACTGACAATTCCTCCGTTTTCATATATACCCACACCTATTTTTGCAATTTCCTGGTTTTCTGGGAGATCAAACATAGGACCATGTCCTCCAGCATAAAATATAGCTTTGAAATCACTGTAAATAAAGATAATACAAATGGAGACAAGCTATCTTCCTTAAAAGGTCATAAAAACTGTATAGATCGTTAAGGTTGCGTCCAGTATATATGCAATAACAATTCCTTGGAAAAATGCCTCTTAAAATTGTAAATAGCATGGCAGAAATTTCATGTGTGAGAGCAATGAGTATTAAAGTGACAATATGTTCTTCTGATAAGCATTAGATATTTCATCACTGGAAACAAAATTGATCTTTCCAAATACAATGTGACATCGACATTTTAAAGACATCTCGCACTAAAAGAAAACGGAAAAATTATTCCTCTTTGATACAAGTTTTAAACATATTCTTGTGATTACAGTCTCATTTTGGCTTTCGATAATCCTTTAACTTAGTCATCGTAAACATTGATAACAATGAGTAAAATATGCTAACTTGAAAGACTTCCTTTTGAATCCCCTCTTATGACGCAAAACATTGATAGACATACACGAAAGTCTTGCCCATTGTATTTGCCAATAAATTTGGACAAGATTTTTATTTTTACACTTTTCATTTCGCAAGTTGATTTTGGACGATAACTCGAGTATCCCATTATGGATTATAGCCTATTTACATAGGAGAAACATTACTGATAATAGCACAAAATTTACCCGCTTTTTGTCCCTTCTATCATACTATTTTGAACCATTGAAATAAGGCCATATCACGTATGGCGCTCATTTTTGTTTCCCATTAACAAGTAGTGCGCTTCGATCAGAATAACTTTTCACTTTTTTTTATATTAAATTTAAAAAAAACATACAAATTAGTACGTTTAACTCTTATTCAGCTGTGATTACCTTGCTTTTATTTGTGAGGGTTTGCGTGTGTTATCAATTGCAGACATTGCCTCTTTGTTGGCTAGAAAATTCTTACAGAGTTGGTCATCTTTAAAGGCTTCGCCACTACCTGGATCCTGCAACAGAAAATATATACAACCGTATGCTTTTTAAATGTGTTTGTGAGTACACTACAACGTATACTTTTTATATGTGTTTGTGAGTACACAATAGACTGTTTTCATATTACTGACTTTGTACTCCGGAGTATAAAATTTTTCGACAGATTACCTACTTTGTGGTATGACATTATGGTAAACGGTCAAGTAAGAGCGACTTAAAGAAGTAAAATTAACCTACATCAGTAAAACTTGAAGCAAAATTTAACTACAAAAATGTCCTACCACAGAATATTTACCTGTCAAATAATTATATATTCCGGGGTCAAAAGTCGGTAATATGAAAAGAGTCTATTAAAACATTTATATATTCTTCGTAATTTAGAGACACTGTAAAAAAGGAAAGGTTATCCACAACACCAATTCAGAAACCAACTAGTGACTAATGAAAGCATCACAGTAACCTGTCATTAAGATGAATGATGTCATTAAGATGAATGACTGTAGCTCTTATATATTCTCCAGTGAAACTTCATCAAAGTTACCATGCCTATAATTTAGAACGCAAGACGTGCGTTTTATCTACCCAAGACTCATAAGTGGCGGTCGAGTAAAATGATTGGAAGACTATATCAATGATGAAGTTAAGAGCATTGAAAACAACACAAAATAGAAATAGTTGTGCTTAATTTTGCTAATGCTATCTATGCCTGGGATTAGAAAAAAATTCAGTTGTGATTTCGAATACTATCTTTTTTTATTTAGTAACAATGCCGGCAATGTACGCATCAAATATATTTCATGTCGGCACCAAAAAATCAAATGAAATGATTGTGTTTTATGAATTTATGTAAATATTCTAATTTACCATTGGTGCTTTTCCTCCTTTTGGACTTATAAATGTGATGTCGTGCCCCTTTGCTTTAAGTACGTGGTAAGGATGAGCTACTTCCGGTAAATACCAACCGGTCTTCTTGTCCGTAGTTCCCAATTTATCATGACTGGTTAGAACAAATAATACCTTGGCTGGCATTTTAACTAATTAAAAAAAAACATGTTATGATTAATATTGTTTTTCTATATCTAATTTCAGTTTTGAAACCAAAATAGAAAAATGATATATACAAAGGTGACAGTAAAAATGATAAGTCAGGCAAAACCATGAAGAAAAGAAGAAAGAAGAAATGACAGATAAAAGTGTACAAGACGTAAGGAAACGAAGCTGAACAACTAGAACCTGATCAAAAATGGAAAAAAAAATAAAGTATTGCGCAGATAAAGCAACTGGTTGAAAGTCGATCATTGTGACTACGATAATCGGATCATATCCGTGGTCATTTGTGACACAACTATTCTGTAATGAACAACCAAACCAATATTGCTTCAGTTAAACATTAGATGATATTCCTATTTTACCATTAATAACTATTGGTTCCGTAATAACAAAAACGGTCACCAATTGTATGTACCAGGTGCGCATTTCGACAATAAATGTCTCAAATGTCTCTTCAGTGACGCTCGAGGCCAAAGTATTTGAAAATCCAAAGCTTATTAAAAACGAAGAGCTCATTAACAAAAGGACAAAAAAGTATAGCAAAAATCGGGCAAGGAATCAAAGCTTTGCATGAGGGAGATATATTCCTTAATTCAAAATAATTTCCAAAATTTTGTAACAGCAAATTTTAATATCAAAATCCGTATTTTCATGTCAGTACCGAAGTACTGGCTACTTGGCTGGTGATACCCTCGGAGACTAACAGTTCACCAGCAGAGGTATCGACCCACTGGTAGTAACTTCTAAGTAGCAACTTTCTATCATTGCAATTCTGATAAGAATACACAAGCTTATGGTTACTTTGCATCACATGAGAAAAATCTACTCCATTTGAAGGTGTTGATGGAATATTGATACATAAAAACTAAAAGCTTATACATGTAATGGGAAAATTAAGACCCTGTCTTTTATCGAATCAGTTGGTTCTCATGTATGTGCCTCTATTTAGCCACATTTCAATGGATTTTAGTTGTTAGGATAATTAAATCTTTATTAATGCTCACCATTAAAAAGTCAGTGAATAGATTAAAACATATAGGAACATAGTTTGAAGTCTGCCTACGACTAAGGAATTCGCTTTTTATATAGAAGGATTGTCTGCATGGCAAAGTACTGAACATATTGGATAGGAGCTATGTACAGGGCGTTGATATTAAACGAATCAAATTTTATAACAAAGAACATTACTCTCAATGAGTATAAAAAGTAAAAAAAAAATTTCTTATGTAACTTTTCACCTCAAGACTTGCATCCTTTCCAGAATTAGAGGGTTCAAGTTTTTAATGTAAATACACTAATTCAGGTTTCATTCTTTATCAGACCATCGTCTTGATCCCACTCATCCTTTGGTAAATCAGGTACACCCTCCGTTCATTGGAATCATTTAACAAAAAGTAGATGTATCCAAAGACAATTTGGGCAAATATTGCCTTTAATATGTTTATTATCTCCAGTGATATTCGAGGCCAAAATATTTGAAAGTCCAAAACATAATACAAGCATTGAAACCAAAAAGGACCAAAAGTAAAGCCAAATCTGGACAAGGAATCAGAACTTTGTATGAAGAAGATACATACATTTGAATCCGTTACGTTACGAGTTACGTTTGTTTTATAATTAAGGCGAAGTGTACGTAATTGCACGCCTCTAGCGGAATTTAGGATAAAAAACGTGCGTCGTTAGTTACGCGGGTTATCTCACCTACTCCAAGAAAGGAAAAATGGGCACATGAAAGAAAAATGACTTCGTGCGGTCTATCATGAATCCAAACAAGTATTCATGTGCTATCTCAAAACTTCAAAGAAATTATTAGAATGACTCCAATCAGAAATCTGAGTATCCTATTGTGAGTTAGTCTGACTTTATTACCACTGTTTTTGTTTTAGACACGCAGGAGCAGGTACACAATACGACTCGTGTTTTTTTCAACAGAAGGTAAAAACGCATAAACAACAAAATTATAACCAAATAAACAAATAAACCAGTGACAATTCTGCTTCTATTCGTATCAAATTCATTAAAATCAAACCAGAATTGACCCCACAATATTTTTTGAAAAACCATAGTTTTGAATGAAATTCACAGTGTAGCGTAAAATTGTAGGTAACGAATAATTATATTGCATTTGAATTTGTGTGTTGAACAAGAAAGACGTTGGCATGTCCGTTTTTATGCAATTGAAAATTTTATGATGTTTTATATTTTATTATTTATGTAAAAAGTATAAAAGATACTAAGGGGTAATCGACAACTAGTACAACATAATGAACATTTATAAGCCGAAGGCGAAGAAAAAGCCAACAGCAAAAAAAAACCATCAGATTCCGTCCACAAAACATTACACACTCAGAAACTAAGAATTGAGCACTATTACATTTATCTCAGAATAAGTAAAATATATGTCATCCAAATCTCAGTTTTCAAGGTGCAGAAAATAAACAGGTGTCTTCTATTCCGTCCGCAATTTTTGGGGAAAGTAAAATCTGAATTTAGAACCATGGTTGAAACTGAAACTACACATGTATGATAAAAATAGAACGTGTTATTTTTTCTTTATCAAATATCAATTTCGAAGGGATAGCGAAATATGTTTTCTTTTGTTGTGCTTTTGTGTATCATTCAGCAGTAGTATAAGGTAGGGGAAGAAGGGGTAGGGGTGAAGAAAATAAGGTCTACAATGTCGGGGCTTTTTATAACCGACTATACGATATGGATTTTTCTCATTGTTGAAGGCCGTATGGTTGCCTATAATAATTGCTTACATCCACATCATTTAAGGTAGCTGTCTAAATGTTGGACGATAAATTTTTCTTAAACTTCTGTAAAAGACTTCTGGGTCAATGTAATTTCATCAAATTTCAATATAAAAACTGGGGATCACGGACCTTGTTTTTTCGTAATAACAAATTGAAATTAACGAAATTTGGGTTATTTTATATTGTTAATATAGGGGAAACTTAAGTTTTCCTTATTGCGGAAACATTAAACGATAGAATTGGCTAAAATTCGATGAGAAAATTGCTTTTCATTAATAACTCCGAAATATCAAATAAAAATAGGGGGTCACGGGCCTTATTTTCTTGAAAAAATCCCCAAAAATTTTAAATATACTTTACGACACTTAATTTTTTGATAGTTCAATCTTTAAATTTCAAGTTTTAGGTATTTTGTTGTATATTAAATGATACTTGGTAAAATATTTTTAAAACAAAAAAGTATTTTTGCAACATGATCAGAACGGACGCTCAGAAAAAGACACCCGATCTACCTTAAACTGTGGCAGATAGTTGTCTCATTTGCAATCATACCACATCTCCTTATTTTCATATTATATTAACAAAACTGCAATTCATTTGCATTATATACAGGGACAAGTTATATCAAAAACTCCGATCTGTTTTACTTTGCTAAAATTCATATGCGGGTTCTTCTTTTGACCTTATTACAGCCATAAAAATTCTCAAGATAATATGCAGATGCAGTTTTCTTATTTTTTGGGAGTCGTGCATGTGGATATTCAACAAATAATGGTACAAGAAATTATTTCCTTTTTTACTTAAAATCTCCAGCAAACATTATATTATGCTTTGTCGTGTAGTTAAAGAAAAGGGAAAGCGATCGAGACAGGAAATTTTTCAAATAAAATTGCAGAGTTGTGTCACGTGCACGTGTGTGAACCTGACAAATAAAATGGGTTTTGTGCGCAATACCTCGAATAGCGCCGGAAATGGTGAGGATGAAAAGATGCAGCAAATTATATACACTTTTTTAAAATACAAACATGCAGAAATAAGATTTTAAAAAAGACGTGTATACGCGATCCCAATATTATAACCGATTATTAAAATACGTATAGAATCATTCTGTCAACGCTGTGTTAACCGGGACAATTTCAAACTTGATATTTGATTCATAATTATTAGAACAATACAATATAAAAATAAGAAGATGTGGTATGATTGCCAATGAGACAACTCTCCACAAGAGTCCAAATGACACAGAAATTAACAACTATAGGTCACCGTACGGCCTTCAACAATGATCAAAGCCCATAGTCAGCTATAAATACAAGCATTTCAAAAAAGATGTGGAACCCTGTCTAATTAAGAAAAGATGGAGTTAAAGTCTATACAGTAACTTTCTTTCACTTGCAGTATATTTATTTGCCAATTTGCTTTTTTTTGGCAGCAGAATTATCCTTAAAAATACTCAGTTTATTTCCTTATCAATTGATTACGCTTGAGCATTTGCAATAATTAGGAAAATGGGTTATAAATAATTCGTAAATATAAATCAACATGTAGACATCTTATACGTTCAGGTATTTCACATCCAATATTTTTTGGTAATATTCTTTACAAAGCACAAAAAAGTCGGCATTCACCTCAAAAGCTAACCAAAACTTTAAACAGACTTATTTAGAAAGGATATAGTTACGATACTGTTGTCAGGTCATTAAGGATTGCATATTTTGATATTAATATTGATTCACTCATAGGGTCTTTGCATCGGAAATAAACACTATTATTCTAAAACCAGTTGTTGGCATGATACGGGTTATGTTCTTCTCATATATTTTATGATTGTATGATACTAAACCCCTAACGGGAGGGATTGTACTTGATTTTCATATGATGAAGACATAATCTTTCAATCAGTTTAATTGAGGTCTGGAGCTGGCATGTCAATAACTGCTAGTAGTCCTTTGTTAATTTATGTATCATTGTCTTTTTGTTTAGTTTCTTTTGTTACCTATTCTGACATCGGACTCGGGCTTCTTTTAAACTGAGTTATACTGTGCGTATTGCTATGTGTTTCTTTATTCTACATTGGCTAGAGGTATAGGGGAGGGTTGAGATCTCACAAAACATGTTTAACCCCGCCGCATTTTTGCGCCTGTCCCAAGTCAGGAGCCTCTGGCCTTTGTTAGTCTTGTATATTTTTTTAATTTTAGTTCATTTATATGTTTTGGAGTTTAGTGTGACGTCCATTTTCACTGAACTAGTACACAATTTTATTTAGGGGCCAGCTGAGGACCACCTCCGGGTGCGGGATTTTCTCACTGCGTTGAAGACCCATTGGTGGCCTTCGGCTGTTGTCTGCTCTTTGGTCGGGTTGTTGTCTGCTCTTTGGTCGGGTTGTTGTCTCTTTGACATATTCCCCATTTCCATTCTCAATTTTATACACACTCACGATTTTGTTTCGACACTGTACGGTATAATAGCGTTATAGAGTTATATCTATGACGTTACAGTAGACATCAATAACGTCGCCGAATGTTTTTTATTCTTTCCGCTAAAAATCAAACTTCCACAGGATATAGCTTGAAAACTAGCACGGTTGCTAAGGACTTTCTTTGCACCAATGGGTTCGTCGTTCATTTTTGAATCGCATATCGATTTTTAAAAAAATTCTGTGGACCAACGAATTAGAAAATCTTGATAAAGTAAAAATATCTGCCGATTTTTATGATTTTCCCTATATATCCTTTGTATTTTTGGCGTATCATGCTGTTAATTTCAACAGCTTGTATCTGAAAAACGAAAACGGTTACCCCTTTTTTTATTTTATTGTCTGATGTATTTTTACAAGCAGAATCCACATGTAAAATTAAAAAAAATTCTGTGGAGTAGTTAATTACGTACACTTCGCCTTAAAATCTTTATAATGATAAATAAAATTTACACAATATAAACAAGTTGAAAGTAAAAAAAACACATTTTACTTCATAAACAGAACTATATCCAGTAAACAACACATACAAATTAACATAATCAGGAATATGTCTCCATTAAGCGGATGACATATTTGTATAGGTATTTACAATGTTTTAACAGGATTCTAAGAGCAATTCAACCAAACATATCATACTTCCTACTAATGGATGGAGGGATGCTGCATAACGGTAAACACATTGCAACATTCGTATGACGAATAAACCAAACCATAAAGTAGGCAGCCATTAATGGTATAATGGTTAAAACTCTATCGGATTCAATACCGTTTAAATTCTTTTCACTATATAAATGTTATGGTAATGTCTTATAAAACGAAAGATTATTTTTCTCTTGTTACCTGCCGGTCTGTTCTTTCTATATACAAACACATTTGCAATCGTGATAAATTAAGGTGACATACCTGAAACTCTGTTGTCTAATTATGAAGATTGTCTTCTAATAATTAAACCTGAAATTATTTTAGCGGTCATGATATAGAACAAGCTTAAGGAGTCATTTAAGCGTGCAATTATTCCAGGTGTTTATAGTTACTTTGCAATTTACCTGTAATATTTCCGTCTCGCGGAAAATATAAATAATATGCCGGTCAACTCATTATTCTAAAGATACCGGATAGAGCACTTTGACATTTGAAACTTGTATTTACAGAGCTTATGCTGCATTGTTATATTTATACCCACTTTTAATTAAATATTTTGCTTAATCATGGAAGGGGGGATAATTACGTTGCATGAAAAACAGAAAACATTGTCAGTCCGTAATATAATGATGTGAGAATTGTTGAAAACAGAGGAAATAGAAATTTTAGTTTTAACAATATTTCATTTTTCAAAAGAGCATAAATTACAATTATTCAATAGAAATACAGGGATTCGAAAACAATAAGAACTTATATGTAAGTTCGCCTTCCTTAACAAAATACAACGTGAAGAAACACGCTATATTATATGTTTGTTTTGTGGTTTGCCAGTTATTCAGAAGTATATTTGATTGAAAGATGGGATCAACTCATTTCTAATTGTGGACTTAGCTGTGAATATGATGTGTAGGTCTATATATGCTCGACAATATAAAGTTCAACTACAAAGTTTCAAAATATACATCGAAATAAAAATCAAAAGATTTTTACACCAAATATCCCTAGCTGTTTCCAAAATAAAATCTTGTACAAATCGAAATTTTATCTAGGCAATAGGAGAATGTATGATAAGTCCACATTTTTGGCCCCTTGAATTCGAGAATCAATTGATTTCAGATGTTAATAAGACATTATTCCGTTACTGTATTGGCGTAGAATATCAGTGTTTATAATTTTGGTTATCTTATATATTTGCATTAGGGCTCCAAACTTCTTACAGTAAGTACAAAACATCAATAAAACACTGCAAAAATAGCCTGATTTTAAGATCTTTTCATTAATATTTACGTATGAGCGACAGCTTTACCCTAAAAGATATTTTGCTATGAAATTTTACAAAGATGTTAATGCTTGTAAAATATATTTTTGTAAATAGATGTTACTTATATATATTTTGAGCAAGAACCATGCGTGAAATGACCGTTTTAGGTCAAATACGTAGAGTCATAATGACTTCTGTAATAAAGTGTCCAAACTATATTAATCTGTTCCTTTGTCAATAAAATTAACATAGTTTTTTCAAAGGCTTAACTCAATTAACTGTTTTTGCTATTACAGACCTGTGCCAAATAATGGCTCTTATCTGAAAAATAATGCTCAAATATAATCCACGACTTACTGGCGTTAATAAGCTACATGCCTTTCCTTCTGTCTTTTAGTAAGTATTAGATAATAAGCAATGCTTGATTTATATTACCAATAACAATTTTTAATATGTTTTTTATCGACTGTCTCAATCAGAAAGATTTTTAATACATTTTAGATCTAAACTTCTTTAACTTTAAGTGGGATATACGCATATTAAAATGCCCAATCTAGATGTATCTGATATTAAAACTAAACAAAATATAATGTACCTATAATTTGTCAAATAATTTGTTTATCCATGTTGATATTCATCAAAGCTATGATCCGCAAAGGGGGGAAGGTAAAAAGGAGAAACTCAATTTGGGGGATCAAAATAATTTTAAGGCTGCGTTTTCAAAATGACCAGCCGTCACCCATTGTATATCAATGTGCTCAGAGTTTAGGAATTTATAAATTTTTACCTAGGGAAAAAAGGGGGAAGGGATTTCCCAAGCAAAAAATACTAAATCCCTTAATCATAATCACATAGATATACAATGGTGTGAATCTTCAATAATTTGTGCTTTTTATACTTGAAAAAATATCTGATTAATGAGTCATGTATTACGGTTTCCAATAAATAGATATTATGATATCCAAGATAAACTGACGTCACTGGATACTCAGGTAAGGTATTAATAGTAGCATTACAATTATATCTATTAATAAATATTACACCGAATATATTATATATCGAACTATATTTTGATCTGAGAATAGAACACATCGAAAGACTTGAGTGTGAGTATATAATTGTTATATGGCGAATATTTGTTCCTCAATATTAAATTCCACAATAGTTGCTAAATTAAAAGTTAGTTTGGAAGTTTAAGAAGATTCGATAGGTTGAAGGAAACTAATGAGAATATATTTGAAAGGATATACATACGTATTATGTATACTAAAGACAGGTAGTGTGTTTGTTTATTTTTGTCAATACTCGCTTAGTGAAGGATAGTTACTTCGCATTTTTGCGAAAATATTATTCTTTAGTGCTGCTTAATTCAATTATTCTTCAAGTTCATTAAGCTCACTAAAATGATGACAAGCTTTAAAATGGTTCACTTAATCTCCATCTTCTTATAGACATCAAGAAATTACATCTAACGAAGTATCAGCACACGTCTTGCAAGTGTAGAGAAAGATGGCATCAAACGGAGCACAGGTGAAATGTTCCTACATTAACTGCGACCAGGGAAAAGTTCTAAATCCTGAGTCTGATAGGGCAGATGTCAGAGGTTTTCATGTTCCGAAGTCTGGAAGAAAAGGTATGTAAATTAGTCTCGGAAGCCCATACCGGGTTGACCGAGTTGAAGGGTGGGAAATTTGGACAGCCATTGGAAAATCACATAATAATAATAATAATAATAAATTCTTTATTTAAAGAGGGTAAACTCAGTTAGTTACAATAAACTAATCTTCCCTGAGGCCCTCACGAATGCTGGATAAGGGCAGAAATTTTACCTTGCAACAATCATCTACGGATATTTCAAGTGCGTATTTATACATCCCGTATCATAAATCCCACACTTTTTGCGGGGTAGTCGTACGACTCAGACGGAGAAAATGGTATAGTTTCTCTATTACACATGGCTATCATATCGTGGTAAAAAGACAAAACAATCATATAATAGATAATAGAAAACCAGGAGTAAATATAAACAGCCTATAACGCTGTAAGTAACAAAGCAAGAAGTTATTTCATAATTTACATAAGCAACACGACGGGTGCCACTAGTGGAGCAGGATCTGCTTACCCTTCAGGAGCATCTGAGATCACCCCCAGTTTTTGGTGGGACTCGTGTTGCTCAGTCTTTAGTTTTCTATGTTGTGTTTTGTGTACTGTTGTTTGTCTTTTTGTCGTTTTTCGTGTTTTGTCATGGAATCGTCAGTTTGTTTTCGACTTAGGAGTTTGAATATCCCTTTGGTATCTTTCGCATCTTTTTTAGCAAAAGGGCTTGGTAATCCAAAAAAATATAATTAACCCTGTAGATAGATATATAAATAACTTCACATTAAAAGGATTCAGAAATCTGTCATTTTCATATGGACGGCGGGATACTTGGAAATTGTGTAACTCCAAAGTAAATATAATTGTACAAGAGAAAAAACAAGTTTGAATAATCGATGTGTACGTTCATAAAAGAACATGTAATGCAATCTTCCATATGTACTTAATGGAAAACCTGACGGGGAAGTATATACGAATCCTGTGGAAAGTGAGAAGTGGGTTAAAAGATTGAGAAACTGAAAAGGGAAGTGAAATTTACGGATTCCCTTTACTCGATAGGATAAGATTATACTGTTTTACACCATGACCTAACTTTCTATAACCATAACCGAAATCGGAGCTTAAGGAAAGGAATTGTGGAACTATTGACATCCACTCCTTGTCCACCACCCTACATGTATACTAAATTATGAAAATAGAATTAAAATGCATTCTTAACGGACTTTAATGTATAACTCATTGTTCTTGATGTTTTCTCAAATTGACAATCTAAATAAAATATAGAACTCGGATTTCGTTATACTACATACTCGTATAACGAAATCCGAGTTCTATATTTTAATTAGATTGTCAAATTGACAGAGCGATATATATACATGCACACGTATAAAAATTGCGGTTTTTATCCAACGCAATCATAGGTTTGAACGTTGTTTTCAATTTAAACTTGTTTATATATATATAGCGCGTCGGATACTGTGCAGGCGATTTGGTGTCACGATATCTCAGTAGCATGAGTTCGAATCCCGGCGAGGGAAGAACAAAAAATTTGCGAAAGCAAATTTACAGATCTAACATTGTTGGGCTGATGTTTAGACGAGTTGTATATACAGAATGTACACAGCCATGTATCACCATCACTGCTGGTGATCCGATGGATAAATCTGTTGTAGAGTTGTCATTGGTTCAGACGTACTTATAACTATAATTATTTCTGTGACTGTATCTTACATTAATTTGTAGGATCCTTTACAATAGATATTTCAGCTGATCTGTAACAATTCCATCTTCATGCCTTATATATCATGTACTGTATTACGACGCTAGATTAAAACTGATGAGGAAAGGTAACACCCGGCCACCGAAAGCTTTATTTTGAAGCCTAGGCGGTCGAGTGGTCTAGCGCGTCGGATACAATGCAGGCGATTTGGTGTCACGATATCTTAGTAGCATGAGTTCGAATACCGTCGAGGGAAGAACAAAAAATTTGCGAAAGCAAATTTACAGATCTAACATTGTTGGGCTGATGTTTAGACGAGTTGTATATATATATGTTTCTCTAATTCTTCGTCAATTTATCCCTTTCTACACCCATTGTATACAGTGGTAGAATCTATATATATATATATATATATATATATATATATAGGATTACAAGTTACAGATGATTTCACATTTTCTATATTCTAAATAGGGAAAACGAATCATAAAAAAATAAATTGATGGATAAACATAATATTTTCCTGTTTTCAGTTCCTAAATAGGCTTCTTTGACCTCAACATCACTGGCAAAAGTGTACCGAATACGCCATTGCTCTCTATTAATTTAGATAGACACAATTATATTACGATTTGCTTTTATTGTTTGTTGAGGTTTTTTTCTAATCTTAAGAATAATAAATTGCAAAGGTGCTAAGCTTTAAAATAAATCATATAAAACTGTGGGGTACTTTTATTAATTAAAAAAAAAACCGCTGAAATATACGTTTTTGTGTTTCAAAATTGTCACTGTAATTAATATGTTCTGTCTACCTTTTGCTTGTTTGAACACAGTTAGGCCTATGTGTGAAGTTCGTTTCATTCTAGAAAGTTTGAGATACTCAACAGTTTTATCAATGGCCTAGTGGTCATAAAGTTTTGAGTACGATTATCGTCAGAACCACCTGCTTCTGGTCAGTTAACACCGACAATTCACTGAAAACAATGACGATCTTTTTCGTAAATTTTGATTTTTCACTATGATCGCAGCTTCGGTCCACTTACATTTTGAAAATACAAATATTTCCCAGGAATGATGCACAAGTCATAAGAAAACTTTTAACATCAATAATTCATGTATTTTACCAGCACAAATTTAAAATGAGAATGACAAAACGACAGTAGAGGTTCAAACTTTAAAAAAAAGTGGGTTTTACGGCATGACAACTTTAACTTATACGAAATTTTTAGGGTCATTTGCTGATATTCATCCCACCATGTCCTCTGTCGGACTTTTATTTTCTTCACTTCCACGCCACTCTCTTATTATTACTTCCGAGTCCTATATAACAATTAAATAATCACATTTTTGCTTTAAACAGGAATGTTGGTTGATTGGACAGACGACGGATCTGCTTCATTGCATCTCTCCTGTTGGCGGAAAATTTGCAGAGCTGCCAAAGATGAAATACCAGAAATAAAGTTATCTGCTAAAGAACAAGAGTTAGTGAAAGAGGCAAAGAAAACAGCAGAATTTCATGACTCTGAAGCTCATTTTCAAAGCGAGGCTGTACGTATAGCAGCGATGTTAAAAAATGCTAGTTACTGTATAGGTTTTACAGGTATTTATAACTGTTCATCCCTTATGTCAGTGTATCTGCGATTTAAAGAGAATGTATATATACATAATGTAAAAATTACCAACATGAAATTTTCTTTTAAATACATTATAAATTCTTTTGCTTTACAAAAAGTTTCTAAATGTGATTAATAAAGATAAAACAAGTATCAATAAATATATAAGTATAGGAATTAGAAATGTTGTATAATTGCTAGTGAGAAATGGTTTTGCTTTTGCCAAGTTTTTTTTCAACGATTGATCAGTAGCGTCCAGATACATCATGGTTCACAATATGAAATATGATTCCATCAACATTTTATATAATATAATATATACATTAATAAAAAATAATCTCACTATAAACAAGCAAACATGTGCATGTTTTATATTTCAGGTGCTGGAATTTCAACTGCAGCAGGGATTGGTGACTTTAGAGGTATTCATGGCAAATGGACTAATAATGACAAAACTAAAGACTATGGTAAGAAAATCGTAATTTGTCTGTTAGAATTTAGAGTTTAAATCAAAAGTTAAAGATCACTACTATTATTCTCTAATTTTGTAACGTAATTTTTGAAAGTATATTAATACAAATATGTAGGATGTATTTTTTATACAACCGCAAAAAAAATTTGCGGTCGTATATTGGTATGACGTTGGTGTCGTCGTCGTCGTCGTCCGAAGACACATTGGTTTTCGCACTCTAACTTTAGTTGAGGTGAATGGATGTCTATGAAATTTTACCATAAGGTTCAATACCACAAAAGGAAGGTTGGGATTGCTTTTGGGGGTTATGGTACCAACAGTTAAGGAATTAGGGGCCAAAAAGGGGCCAAAAATAAGCATTTTTGTAACTTCCAGACATAACTTGTGTGTTAGTGTATGGATCTCTCTGGCATTGTACCACAAGGTTTCATATCACAAAGGGAATGCTGGGATTGATTTTGGGGGTAATTGCATCAAAATTTTAGGAATTAGGGGCCAAAAAAGGGGCAAAAAACAAGCATTTTTCTAGTTTCATGACAATAACTTGTGTGTAAGTGTATGGATCTTTCTGAAATTGTACTACAAGGTTCCATATCACAAAGGGAAAGCTGGAATTGAGTTTGGGGGTAATTGCCCAAAACGTTTAGGAATAAGGGGCCAAAAGGGGGGAAAAAATAAGCATTTTCTAGTTTCCAGACAATAACTTGTGTTCAAGTGTATGGATCTCTCTGAAATTGTACTGCAAGGTACCATACCACAAAGGGAAGGCTGGGATTGAGTTTGGGGGTGATGAATCATAAGGGGGTTCAAAAAATTTGGGGTTTTTTTTTTTCCCTTTTTTTTCTTTAAAATTTCCATTTTAAATTGGTTATTTCTGATTTATATATAAAAGCAAATAATAATGATATGGTTTGAATAGGTAAATTAAAATTTTTTAAGTTCTTAGACCACATTCATTCTGTGTCAGAAACCTATGCTGTGTCAAATATTTAATCACAATCCAAATTCAGAGCTGTATCAAGCTTGAATGTTGTGTCCATACTTGCCCCAACTGTTCAGGGTTCGACCTCTGCGGTCGTATCAAGCTGCGCCCCAGCGGAGCATTTTATTATCTTTCGAACCAGGTAAATTTTCAGTTGAGATGAATTTCCCTTTTTTCAGGTTCTAAATCTGCCTCATCAGGTCCAGGAAAACAAAACCAACGAGGTTATCGCCTTCCAACTTATACTCACGAGGCAATTTGTAAATTACTGGACATGGGAATTATGAAATACTTAATCAGCCAGAACACGGATGGACTTCATAGACTTTCTGGTATTCCCGCACAGAAGATTTCCGAACTTCATGGGAATGGTTTTGAAGAGAAATGTGAAAAATGTGAAACAAGACGTATGCGCAACACAAACACAAGATCTACTGCTCAGAAACAAAAAGTGCCACCCCGTAAATGTGAACGATGTAAAATTAACCACAGAACTGGAAACATGTGTCAAAAACCTGTAGGCATTTACTTATAAGTATATTTGAAATTTGTTTTTCTAATATTACAAATAAATTTTTGATGCAACCATGATAGTGGAAAACGTGATTGCTGTTAGAAAGTGTAAGCTTGTTTATATACATTTTTAAAAAACGTCAATACTCAACGCTGGTAGTCAAATTGCCAGTGTATAATATCGCACCTGGCTTGTCTGAAATATTTCCCCAAATACTTGGAGCTACCAAATGGAGCATCAAAATTGATATTATAACACACTTAAAGCTCAACATAATAGAACAAGGAAATGAATTAACGTAAAAATACCAGTCGATTATAAAGTGACGCAAGATAAAGTACCGAAGGCCAGTGTAGTTGTACTTTATACCACACCTGTCTGTCATATCATCATTTAGAATCGTTTACTTTTTCTTTATACAAATATTTACTGTCACTGATGGTGTTTAATAACAAAGCAAAATCACAGCAGAATTTTTGATGGAATAACACAGTTGAGTTTATTTAAAATTGGTAGTCCATCTTCATTGCACGGGTAATATTTTATATAATTTGTTTTATAGGGTTGTGGAGGCTACATGATGAATACTATCATAAATTTTGGAGATTATTTAGAAGGCCCGGTTTTACGTTCTGCAGAGGACAACGCAGAGAAAGCTGACCTTGTTCTTTGTTTAGGGACAACCTTGAGAGTAACTCCTGCTTCTGATCTTGTTGCCATGGGAAAGAAACCGAGCAGACTTATTATTTGCAATAGGTAGCTAGCACATTCTGTCTAATTCGTTGTCTTTCAAGTCTTTTTGGATATTTGTAAATTAAGACATATTTTTGATGAAAGTTACAGGAAACAGATTTATAGTAATTTTAAAGTAATTTTATGCAAAAGCGGTCGTACATACTAACTGGTGCAATGTGAATTATCGTGCTTGAGTTTTAATCTCTTGTTATTATTTTTTGTAGCTTTCTACTTTTTGCGAAAATAATATAGAGTTTTGTATCTATATACTCTTGAAGAATCTAGAGTTGAGGTGAAGTTTACTTAGCGTGTAATGTTCTCAGATTGATCTAAGTAAAATTTGAATATTTTATCTTATATGTAAACATTTCACTTTTTATTTACAGACAAACCACCCCTTATGATGACTATTGTACTGAAACAGATAAAGACGGAAAACTGATAGGTTCTCGGATGTATGGCGACTGTGACCGTCTGATGAGTCTGGTCATGAGGATAATTTTAGGTGAAGATGCAGCAAAGACTTGGGAGGATGATAGGGATCAAAGAATTGCTACATACGACTTGTCAAGAATGTAGATACAATTATGTTATGCTTTTTGCAATATTTAAGCTTGTGTTCAAAATGAATAATAATTCCAATATATTGGAAAGACAACACGAAGAACATTCTAATGTACTTGTTTCAACAGAGGTACGTGTTTTTAACAGAAATAGACGTATACATGGATGCACTGCCGCTTATTACCTTTATAGATGATGATAATTTTACACACCTTCACATGTTATAATATATACATGTAAATGTTAATTCACATTTTGTCATTTACCTTACTATTTTCTTAATAATTGAATGTGTAAATCACCATCCTTAAGGATACACATGTTTGCCATAAATACATGCAGACCGCATAAACACTTTTTGTTGTATTTGTATTGTGATACAGTGCTGTCATCGTCTCTCTATAAACAATGATTCTTGTGCGATAACCGATCATCTAAAACTTTATATGCACAATAATCCTTGCTTGGTAAGGAATGGTTGAATTGCAGTTAGATTGTTACACGAGCCTGTTTAAAGCAAGAGGACCATAGGATTTTAGATATTGTTCCACTTATTTTTATATGAAACGTTTACATTCCAACTTTGATTGTGAGATTGGTATGATACATGTAACACTTCATAAATATGTAGTTAAGCAGCCGATCTAAATCTTGACTGCCTCAGGAAATGTTTGGAGAGTATTATAGGCTTTGAAACTTTATGTTCAGCATTTAAAAAACCCTGTCGTACCCTTCCGTTGGAAAAAACTGGGTACGATTTATATACCTCATGGTTTCTTGGCGACATACAAGCATTTTTGTGTGTGGTTTGAACAATAAATACATTACATACAGGGATGGCAAAAATGATCATGACATTATATCACGTTATGTGTTTTTTTTTTGCCTGGGAGTACATCAGTCATTACCGAAAATAGTTATATTTCTGGATGATTTTGCGTACTTTTGTTTGTCTTTTCGTCTTTTTAGCAATATTGGTTTGTGTTTCTTCAATTTGAAACTTCTGTTTGCTACAATTTATATACTGAATAGCACTCTTGATATGTTTGTAGCACAACGAAATTAAAAGAAAATGGAATTTAATTAAATGCACCAAAATTTTCGGATTTCGATCATTTATTTTCGCCCGCAGTGCGCGAAATCAATAAATACTGAAATCCAAAAGTTTCATTATATATACACGAACAATAAACATATTATACAAATGTATGAAAAATAGTTTCAAAGAGAAATCAAATAAGAATGTTTGTATATATAATTATTTACATGTATTCAGTTTAAGAAAAAAACTGTTCGGGTCCATCTTTGAAATATATAACATATATTCTCCCAGTAGTTAAGGCATATGATTGTGTAACTTCTTTTTTTATATGCACGGTATGAATCGAATGTGGATTCTAAAAAGATAAATAAGTCGTAGCCAACAATTGTTTGCCTTTTCCACAATTAGGACAACACCGAATGCGACTTATCACTGAATGTTTACTTGCCATTGTAACATGACGGGTGCCACTAGTGGAGCACCATCTGCTTACCCTTCAACAGCACCATCTGCTTAAACTTCTGCAGCACCATGGTTTTTGTTGGATTCGTGTTGCTCATTCTTTTGTTTTTGTGTAACATTTTTATACTGCTATTTGTTTTTTGTCGTGTTGTCTTTTGTCTTATCTTCGAATTATTATTTTAATTCCCCACTTGGTATTGTCTGCCTTTTTTATTTTAATTTTAGAGTACATATAACCGAAATCCTTCTCATGTTGCAATACCTCAGTATTCCTATTTCAAAAATTTTAACAGATTGGAAAAAATATTTGTAAACACAACAATATTGGCCATCTATCTTACAGCGTTAATCTGGGTATTCCGTATCTCTGCAATGGGTTACTAAACCTCCATGCAGGGAATAAAAGTTTAGCAAAAAATATATCAACAATATACCAAGAAGAAAGAAGAATGTTTTTTCGATCTGCAATTTTCAAGCATTAAAATTAAGTATACGAAATTTAAAAAGATATAACAGAAGGAATGACTTGTTTCAGATGAAGTTAGACTTTATAAAACAGGGACATAACTGTCCTTTGTTCCGAAAAAATTGTTTTCCATAATGGAAAAAAGGATGTGATATAGTTATAAAAGGCATAAGATCCCTATCAGAACTTGACAAAACCAAAAGTAAAGAAACGACACTTTTATTGCTGGTCTTCCTCTGAAAGGCACAGTGAGGTGTTCGACATTGCACAAAAGATAACAACTCCTTTAAAATTTAGAATTTGAAAGGATTTTCTTTCATACGGATATTTATTTTTCTACTTGTTCAGGGGGAAAACTAATCTGCAGTGCAATTTCAAGTAAATTTATTTATCTTTTGTTTTGACATTTATCAAATTCATGCAAGTATTGTTGAAAATGAATCCGGAATTACCTACTAGAACGGTTGTTTTGCGTATCTCTGAAAAATTCGATGCAGGATCAGTAATAACTAAAACGGTTTTTTTTTATTAGTATTGCTGATTAGTTCACAATATTTTGTTTTATTTTAAACGCTCACTCCTTTGCACTCTGGAAGATTGATCATTATTGCCTTTACAATTGAATCGTTTTGTTATGGATTGCTTAACAAGACATTGACATTTTCCTTAAAGGCATTAAAAGTCGCAATTCTACTGCACGCAGTACATCTGGCAAGGACAGATCAGAACTTCTGGCGCTCCTCAGTAGGTTTAAGTTGGGGCTTCGTGGAATTAAACAATCAAGTTAAACATATAGTGTAGATTTGTGTCCGAAGTCGCAGGTCTGAGTGGTCATCTCGTTTTTTAATGTGAAGACTTTTGGCCCTTGAGCGGTATTCAGAATATTTGCATTTTATCGTAATGGTCAAACACACATCCGTACCGCGGGTGCAATTAAGGCGTTTAGTGTGTTTATTTCAAATTTTAATGGAATTCGTTTATAACCACGATTTTGATTGGACGACGTCATATATTTCGATTGATTGATTGTTGGTTGATTAACGTCTAGTGGCAAATATTATCTGCATGTTCAGGACGAGAACAAATTAACAATAAATACAATAGGTAGATGCTTTCAAAGCGGCCATCCAGGATGAAGGTCAGGGAAGTTTAAACTGCCACTGGAAAATGAGGGTATATTGGATAAGGACAGACATTTTGCTTTGCAACAAGGCCACCTACGGACCCTTCACAGAGTTGTTGCGAAGGTTTTTAACGTACAAAGAGCGTGGCACTCTCTCTACATGAGGCATCGGATTTAACGTCCCAATTCAGACCGGACCGGACGTGACTGCGTACTTGCACATCCCCCACAGTCAAACGGATGTCCCACTTGACAAGGGTTCGGGAAATGATTAATTGATGACATTTTTACACCGAAGTAATGAGTGAAATGGAATATTTTAATTTTATTTTGTATTTGAATGGAGATAGCTGTGTATGGTATTTTAATCTTGCCCTATGTACGTAGATAAACTCATCATAGATACCAGGCTGAAAATGTACGCCAAACGCGCGTTTCGTCTACAGAAGACTCATCAGTGACGCTCGAATCGAAAAAGTTAGAAAGGTAAATTGAAGTACGAAGCTGAAGAGCATTGAGGACACAAAATTCCGAAAGGTTTTGCCAAATAAAGCGTAGGAGATAACTGTATTTTTGTTTTACCTACATTTGTACTGGAACATAAACTATACTATACCCGGTTATTTGTATCAGATTGAACACATTTCTTTAGAGGTCAAAGTATTGGTGTGTAAACTGGGCAATTAACTCACAAACTGAACAAAAGTGTGAAATTACAATATTTACAGTTATTTCCAAAATATAAGAGATAAGGAGGACTGCTCTATCGATACATTCACAAATAGTACGATTCTATATAACGGAGTACTTTCAACTACGGCGTAGAAGTATCTGTATATGTATTGGTACGTGTAGAATCCTATTTAGGCTTTTATACACGGCGGAGAAGAGCGCCGTTGTTATGGGCGGTGTTTCTGTAGCACGGTCTTGAATGCCTATACAGAATCTGCACGCACAACTTTATCTGGCAGTTGGTTCCAGTTTATAATTGTTTCCACAAAAAAATGTATGTTTATATTCTGGCTTATTGCTGTCTGGCACTTTAAGCCTTCGGGTGTAGTTTATTATGTGCCGTTTAATTATATTGTGTTTCAGTTTGTAAATACTTTGGCTTTGATAGTTCTTTTCGGTCTTGCTGGTGTGATAAAATTGTCGGCTCTCAGAGCCGTTACCAGTCCCCCAACCACCTTGTATATCAGGATCAGACGGAGGCTGTGTTTTCTTTCCTCTAGAGTCGCAATATCTAGCTGACGTCTCATGTTGGTTATGGACCCTGTTTCTCGACTCCCGTAGCTCTTCTTGGTGAATCGTATGCTTTTGTTTTGTATACGCTCCAATTTGTCGACATACCCTTTCATATATAGGTTCCAGATGGTTGCGCCATTTTTAATTGTAAATCTTATTAGGGATATGTATGCTGCTTTTCTACACGCTTCTGGAACGTTTCATAAGTTCCTCCTAAGAAAGCCCAAGGTAGCGTTGGCTTTCTTGCTGATGTTATTTATGTGGGTACTCCATTTCAGGTCGTTTGAGATTTAAAGTCCTAAGTATGGATTCACTTGTACCTCCTGTAGAATATGTTTATAGAGCGTGTAGAATTTGTCTGTTTTTTATTGATGGATAGGACATAGCTTTTTTTGGTGTTGAATCGCATCCCCCATTTGTCGGCCCAAATTTCTAGTTGTTCCCAATCCGATTGAAGTTTGTGGGGGTCTTGGTCAGTTTTAATATAGTTCTGTATAATAGGCAATCGTCTGCAAATAGTCTTACTGGTGATGTTACGCTGTCTGGCAGGTCATTGATGTGGCAAAGAAACAGGATTGGTCCTAAGACGGTGCCTTGAGACACATCAGAGTCAACTGATGTTTCGCCGAATATTTCCCCTTCCACGATGGTGTGCATTGATCTGGTAGTCAGGGAAATTGATAGCTATTTGTGTGTATTTCCTTAGATTCTATAATGGTCTAGTTTGTGGAGTAATTTGTTGTGTGGTACTGTGTCAAAGGCTCTGGAGAAGTCTTACATGGCTATGTCGATTTGGTGTCCCTTGTCATGCTCATGTAGAAAGTAATTGATGGTAGAAATGAGTTGTGTTTCGCATAATTTATTTTTCTCCAGATGTTTTAAAATGTGCCTACATATGACGTGTTCTAGAATTTTGCTGGTGACAGAAGATAATGATACAGGTCTATAGTTCTCTGCGAGGTGTTGTCTCCTTTTTTGAAGATACTTGATATATTTGCATCCCTCCAGTCTTTT